ATATTTTCCTACAGTTTGAGCATTCTGTTGCATCACTTTCTTTGGAATGGATCTCTTCCAGTTAGTTGGCCAAGTGTTTGTCGTCCACATTTCCTGGCAGAGTCAAGCAAGTGCTTCCAATGCTTCATCATCCTGCTGAAACATTACAATTGGTATTCCATCAATTCTTGGAGCCTTGTTTTTGGCTAAAGTATTTCGTGCAGCTTGAAGTTCTTCCTTCAGCACCATTGGTTCCTACTAATATGCTACCTCCTGAGATGGTGGAATGTCAGCTAGTTCTTTATGGTACAGTGACTCTGTATTCTTTTGATGCTTCCTGCATCATTCAATACTTGGTCTATAGACTCTTTCAAGATTGCAACTCAAGGCTTCCATTTTTTTCTTGAGTTCTCTCAGTTTAAGATATGCTGAGCGTGTTCTTCCTTTTTGTTTTTCTAGTTCTAGGTCTTTGCACCTTCTGTTATAATATTTGTCTTTGTCTACTTAAGCTGCCTTTGAAATTTTCTTTTCAGCTCTTTGAATTAGTTATTTCTTCCATTTGCTTTTGGTTACTCTGTGACTAAGAACCAGTTTCAGAGTCTCTTCTGACATCCACTTTGATCTTTTCTTTCCTGTCTTTTTAATGACCTTTTGCTTTCTTCACGAATGATAATCTTGATGTCGTCCTACACAGCTCATCAGTTCTGTCGTCAGTGTTCAATATGTCAAATCTGTTCTTGAGATGTTCTCGAAATTCAGGTGGGACCAACAACGCAATGCCATACTCTGGCTCTCAGGGACTTGGTCTCATTTTCTGAAGCTGTATCCCAAACGGACATATGAAGAGTTAATGGTCTCTTCCGGTCAGCCCCTGCCTGGTTTTAGCTGTGGATACTGAGCTTCTCCAGCATCTCTTCCACAGATGCAGTCAATCTGATTTCTGCGTATTTCATCTGTAGAAGACCACGTATACAGTCACCTTTTGTGTTCTTGAAAAAAGGCATTTACTATGAACAAGTCATTGGTTTTGCAAAATTCTGTCACATGTGCTCACCTTCCCAATACGATCACTGAAGACAAATGGGTGCATAAGCAAATGTGAAAAAGCTGATGGTGTCCGGCTGTCAAAAGATATTGCATCTGGGGTCTTAAAGGCTTGAAGATAAACAAGTGTCCATCTAGATGAGAAGCAACAAAGCCCACATGGAAGAAGCACACCAGCCTGTGTGATCACGAGGTGTTGATAGGATCAGGTATCAGGCATCAAAGATAAAAAAACCATATCACTGTGAATGAGGGGGAGTGCGGAGTGGAGACCCAAAGCCCACCTGTAGGCAACTGGACATCCCCTCACAGAAGGGTCTCGGGGAGGAGACGAGCCAGTCAGGGTGCAGTATAGCAACAATGAAACATACAACTTTCCTTTAGTTCTTCAATGCTTCCTCTACCCCCCACTATCATGATCCCGATTCTACCTTACAAATCCAGCTAGACCAGAGGATGTACACTGGTGCAGATAAGAACTGGAGACACAGGGAATCCAGGACAGATAAACCACCAATGATGAGAGCAGTGATACCAGAAGGATAAGAGAAAGGTGGGGAGAGAAAGGGGGAACCACTCACAGTGATCTACATACAACCCCCTCCCTAGGGGATGGAAAACAGAAAAGTAGGTGAAGGGAGACATCAGTCAGTGTAAGACATGAAAAAATAATAATTTATAAATTATCAAGGGTTCGTGAGAGAGGGAGGATGCGGGGAGAGGGTGAAAATGAGGAACTGATATCAAGGGCTCATGTTTGACAAAATGGATATATATATGGATTGTGATAAGAGCCGTAAGAGCCCCCAATAAAGTGATTTAACATAAAATAAACATACAAAAATTCTATCATGTGAGCTCCAGCTCCATTTCTATCACTCAGTCCATATTTTCCAACTACTGTTCCTTCCTGTTTCCGGCGTTTGCATTCCAATAGCCCATAGTTATCAACGCATCTTGACTGCATGTTTGATCAATTTCCTACTGAAGTTATTGGTAAATTCTTCAATTTCTTCATCACCAGCTTTGGTGGTTGGTACGTAAATTTGAATAATAGTTGTACTGATTGGATTTCCTTGAAGGTAGATATATATATATATATATAATCCGATCAGATTGATAAAGATAATCCTACCAGACAGCATTGTACTTCATAATTGGTTTTGCTGTGTCCTTCCTGACAATGAATGTCCTGCTATTCCTCTTGATTGCACTATTCCTGGCACAGAAAACCGTGACTCTTCTGATGCAAAACGGCCTATACCAGTCCATTTCAGCTCACTGATGCCTAGGATTATCCATCTTTATGTGTTTCCTTTCATTTTGAATGATGTCCAATTTTCCTTGACTCACTGCAAACATTCTGAGCCCCGATCACTAGCAGAACTTTGCATTTATTTCACCTTACCTTGAGTCGTGCCCCGAAGGTCCTGAAGGCTCCACTCCCACACTCTTTCCCCGTCTCATGTCACCAGAGCCATTCTGTGCTGAGAAACCTGCTCCTCCTCAGCCACATTTCTGACCCTCTGACCCCAGGATCCCATCTTCCGGCACTGTTTCCCACAGTGTTCTGCGCCCATTCCTTAGGCCTTCAGGACATGGCAGTGCTTCAAAGCTATGAATCAGGTTCCCAGTGGCCCCGCCCTCTGAAGGGGGGAAGAGGGCGGCCAAGCCCTTCTTTATTGTCTGTTCTTAGTCTAAAGGCTCTGCTGAAACCTGTTCCCTTTGGGTGACCCTGCTGGCATTTGAAATAAACAGCAGCATCGCCTCCTGCATCACAGCCACTCACAAGCCACCCACAGCACAACAAACCGACAGGCGAGTGGTGGGACATTTCATATAGATTTTTAAAGATCGAATTCAGTTTTATTTTGGGAAATGTTTAACAGCTAGTTCTCTAGAAACAAAACAAAGCCAAGTAAAACAACCCCCAGATTTATAGCAGATGCCGATATCCATGGTGTAAATACTTCTACAATGACTGATTCCAAGTTACCCACGTGCTGTCTCCAGAAGAGTTGGGAAGAGATGTGTACAGTCCGCCCTCATGTGCCGATCTGAGCCAGCTCTAGCACATCCCTAAGATTTACGAAGTCTAAACCTTACTATATTCAAAGCAGGAGGATTTCAGACATCTGCCAATAATCCTGTACCATCCAAATCTCAAGTGGATTTTAGTTCAAAGGGAAAAGCGTTCAGGAACCCTAACAAAGTCCCAGTTCCATGGACTCACAGATATGATTAACTTGAACCTCTGTAGAAATGAGCGGTGGAGAAGAGAGCATAAACCTTCAGCAAAGTGCCTGGGATTTACTTCCCTAGCACAAGAGCCCTTTGAGTTTGACACACCCCCACCCCCACCCCCTTCCTGCCAAGTCTGAAAACTGAAAGAGCTTGGGTATTAAAAGCCCACAATCTTATAAGCCACCTCCCCAAGATAAAATGTCCTGTCCACCCCATCCACCTACCTCATTGGAAAGGACCGTGGCTCCATCTCCATCCCGGAGGACGCCATCCTTCCCCACCTGGGGGAGGACAGCAGGCCTGGCATCCTCAACGGTGGTGCACTTGGCTGCCTTCTTGTTTAAGATCCTGGCCACACTCTCTGGCTGATGGTAGCTTGCTGGAGGGAGGGGCTCCAGCTTCTTGGTGCTCTCTTCCCCCGCTGCAGAGGTGGGGCTGGGTGCTCGGCCGCACACGTTGCGGAAGAATTCCTGCACGAGGCCATACTTGGGAGGCTCGGGTTTGGCCCGTGCCTCGGACATGCCCAATTTCCAGACGGACTCTGTGCTCCCCGAGTGCTCTACCACACTGAAGAGGCTGGACAGCCCATCGTTGATGTTCCTCAAGACAGGGCTGTCCCGGGTGGTGGTGGAGCGGGCCCAGGCTGAGCCGTTCTGCTTGCCCTGGTGAAGGTTCCACAGGCTCCGGTCCTTGGTGTTGTCCAGCTTGGACACCGACCGCCGCTGGAGCTTGGGCGAGCCATACTTGGGCGAGCAGCATGGCCGCTCGATGCGCGAATGCACCTTGTCCAGGGAGGAGGAGATCTGCTTACTGCGCACAGAGACGAGCGAGGAGCTGCGCGGGGACCAGCTCTTGCTGTGGAGGCTGCTGCGGGGAGGGTCAGTCTGCAGGCCCACGCTGACCGTGCGGATGGTCTGTGTGCCCACGCTGGCCAGGCCCACCGTCTGACTGGACGTGCTCTTGACTTTCCTCCCCAGCGAGCCCGAGCGCATGGCCTGGCGCACGCAATTGGTGATCTCCTTCATGTCATCGCTCATGTTGCCCGACATCTCGAAGTCATGCAGGGCGGCTGGGAAGCCAGGCCCGGCCGCCGAGGGACTGGCCCCGGAGCTGCCATCCAGGCGCTGCCGGGAGAAGTTACAGAGCCACCGGCTGTAAGAGCTCTCGGCCAGCCCGTCGGCCTCAGCTGACTCTTTGGGCTTGGCCGTCGTGAAGAGGAAGCCGGGCTCGATGATGATCTTGCCCTCCTTATCATGGACCACAGGGACGCCCAGGCGCCGGGCCAGAGGCGGGCTGTAGTACACTCGGATGCCAGTCTTGTCGGGAGCCGTGTGGCTGCGCTGCATCTGTCTCCCGGCGGGGTTGTGGCAAGCCAGCGTGCCCAGGTGGGCGCAGTCCCGTGGCGAGAGCCCGGGCTTTTCCTTGGCCTCCTTCTCGGGGTCCCCTGACTCGGGATTCACAAAAGCAAAGGCGGGGTTGCCGGAAAGCTTCTTGCCCAGGGTGGGTTCGCCCGCAAGGTACGGGGAGCAGTCAAGCAAACTTTCAAACTCGGACATGGAAGAAACAGATTTGGTCCTGGGAAGGGCAGCAGAGGAAGTGGTGTCAGTGGAAGGGCGCTTAGACCTTGCACCTTCTCTGGTCCACTTCTCTGGACCTCAAGCTACAGGAAGGCAGGGGACCAGATTCATCTTCCTCATTTCCTCTACGTAAGATGCCATTAGCGGCCTGCCCCCACCCTAGACCTACACACCCCAAACTGCATAATGTACACCCCTGCCGTGCTCCACCAGACGGCTTGCCCTCCACCCAGAGAAACCATAAACGTCAGTTAACATTGCCACACACAGCCCTCATCAAACAGTGGTGATGTGGTGGATCCTGACGGAGGCTCCCAGAGTGCCTCAGTGAGACTGAACTCCTGGTGGCCCGTGGGATGACTGTCTGAGAAACCAAAATACCAAACCTACTGCCAGTGGGCTGAATCGGACTCATAGGGACCCCAAAGGACAGAGTCAAATGGCGCCGGTGGGTTTCCCAGGTTGAAATCTCCTGGGAGCAGCTTGCTAGGTCTTTTCTCCCATGGGATGGCTGGTGGGTTTGAAAGGCCAACCTTCTAAAGCCAAGTGGCTTAACCACTGCACGAATACCAAAACAAAAACCAGACTCACTGCCGTTGAGTTGACTGTGACTCAGAGGGACCTTGTAGGACAGGGTGGAACCGCTCCTTAGGGTTTCTGAGACTGTACATCTTTATGAGAAGAGGCAGCTTTCTAAGTCCCTGTCTCTCTCCCCTAACTCCTTCCAGCCCTCTTCTAAATTAACCATGTGCACTCCAATCCTTATCTCAGGGTCTGCTGCTGGGAGCACCCAAACTCACATGGCATTAGGCCCCTGACACAGACCTGGCACCTGTGCTGCCTGCTGACTGAAAATGCCCAAACCAAAAACCAAGCAAGCCCACTGCCATCAAGTCGATTACGACTCACAGTGACCCTACAGGACAGAGTAGAATTGACTTCGTGGGTTTCCGGGACTGTCGATCTTTATGGGAGCAGAAAGCCTCCTCTTTCTCCTCAACAGTGGCTTGTGGGTTCATACTGCTGACCACGACAACCCCTGACTGAAAGAGCCAACGCCTGCAAATGCATCTCACATGCCCTATCATTCGTTCCTCTCAGAGACTCCTGGAGGAGTCTTATTAGCAGAGTCTCGGGGCAGCAGAGAAGGAAGTATTGGCTCAAAGCCCAGAGCTAGAAATGGCAGAGCAGGAATTCAGACCCGGAATCCTTGGCCTCAGAGCCCACCCTCTTCATCCAGGACCCGCTGGGCGCCTAGCTTAGGTGGGCTCTGCTTCCCTCCCTCCTTTCGCTGGTTCTTCATCAGTGGAGACATGGTCCTTTGAGTGCCACCCCCCCCAACCCCCAGCCCTGGCTCAGCTCAGGGCTGGAGCCAAAGGAAGCTGCTCCCTCGTACCAGCAAGGGGTGTCCACTAATGCCAGGAACAGGAAGAAAGAACCTCAGGAGGCCAAGCGTGGAGAGAGCCTCTCTCCCAGCTAGGATATGCTAAGGCCCCAGCTTTCTAAGCTCCAAACAACTCCCATCCAACTGCCCCAAGCTTTACGGCTCCTGGGTGCTTTGGACTCCACAGAAATCAGATTTTTCTAACTCAGCCCGGGGGAAGCCGTGGGCGTGCGGGGAAGGGAGGGCGGAGGCAAAGGGGAGGGGAGGCCAGCACCTCTTTAAGCCGCTTCCCCCGATCTCAGTTTCGGAGCCCGCCTCCTTGTCGTGGATCTTCTCACTGCGGGTCTGCCGAGAGAAAAGACAAGGGTCAGTCCTACTGCCCAGTCCTGAGGGCCCGTAGTGGTGGTTCCCAGGGTGGGAGCTGATGCCGGGCACGCCACTCCCTCTATGCCTCAGTCTCCTCATCTGTGGCACAGTAGTGACACTGGAGACGTCAGTTCTGGCTGCGCTGTGGCTGAGCCCCTCCTCCCACTTGCTCCTCAGACCCCCTGGAAGTGAGGACGTGGGTCTAAGCCCAGCCACCACAGAGAGCTCCAAGGGAGCCTCCCCCAGCCCAGCGCCCGCTGTTCAGTTGGTGGTGAGAGAAGGGCCCTGGTGGCTCCTGCTTGGGGGTTTGGGGGGTGGGGTGGAGGTGGGGGCCTGCTTCACCTTGGTTGCAGAGGCATAGCGCCCCCCCCACCCCTATCTGGGCCGGCTTTCTGAACCTTCATCAGCAGACCCCTCGGGGCCCAGGACAATCCTCTCTCCTGTCTCAGCAGCCCCCAAAAGGCAAACAGTCTTGCCCAGCCACATCCTCAGCCCAAGGCTGCATGTGCAGTCTCAGACTGCTTACTCAGCACTGTGGCACCACCGGCACCTTGCCTGAGGCTTCCGTGAAAGCCTCACCTAAGTGACTTCCATGAAAGCCTCACCTAAGTGACTTCATTGTTCCCCACACCCATTGTTCTCCACCCCAGGCCTGGGCCAGCACAGAGTATGTGATTCACATCTGAACAATGAGGTGGCAGGAGCCCAGAGAGGGAAAGGGGCTTTCTCAAGACCACGCAATGATTTAGAGGCATGGTTTTTCAGGGTACAAAAGAGACACCCAGTCTGTCCTCCTTCCTGGGTCCCTACATCACCAGCAGGCACTATGCCCCAGGACTGAGGAGGAGGCCAGTGTGCCAGGGTGTGACCTGTGAGGCATAGTCAGCATCTTCCTTAGGGTGCGGCCCACCCAGGGACTGTCTGGTGTAGCCAGAGGCCAAGAGAGCGCTGCGGCCGCTACCCCGCGACCTGACTCACCTCTTTCCAGCTGTTGTCCGGCTTCTCGAGGTCCGTGTGCTTAAGGACCCAGGGGTCAGCAGCCTTCTGCAGCTGGACAAAGGCAAAAGGGATGGGTCAGTGTGAGGAAAGCTGCTCCCCAGTTATTCTCTGTAGTCCAAGAGAGGACTCAGATCATGGGCCAGGAGCCATCTGCCCACTGAGCCACCTGCAAGGTGGGGCCAGGTTTGCAGAATAAAAGCGAAGCCAAGTAACCACCCACTGCCAACCCCACCACCAACGAGCCGATGCCAGCTCTAATCAGCCCTATAGGAGGGTAGAAGGGCCATCTACGGTTTCCATGACTATCCATCTTTATGGAAGCAGACTGACCACCTCATCCTTTCCCGTGTGGGTTCAGACCTCCCACCTTCAGTTAGCAACCCAAACACTCACCCACCGGGGCTCCTTTAAGTACCTACGGGCAATGGTTAAGGAGGCCGCGAAGCCTACAGTGGAAACAGCTGTTACAAGGACGTCTGTCCATTGCCATTCAAGGAACAGCTCTACCAGCTTCTTGGAGTGTCCCGCTATGGCTCTTTTCACTAGTGGGTCCCAGCACTATTTCCCACTGAGCCTCGAACTGGCCTTTGATCCTCCTCGTGGTGCGCCATGCCCTCCAGGAGGGTGTGTGACGTTGCCCAGTGGCTATTCACACAGAACAGACTCCTCCCAGCAACCTGATGAGGCGGGTTACATTAGTGGTTTTGTTTCACAGATGAGAGCAGGGAAGGGACCTGTCTGAGGCGGGCGGCTAAGTAAGGGGCAGTGGTAACAATCACGATGGTGCAGATACTGTGTTTGGGGGAGCTGTCCCCCATCTGTTGTTGCAACCTTGTCAAGAAGATGGCCTTGGGCAAACAGAGCTTATTTTCAGGGCAGACGGATTCAAACAGGGCATATAGAAGCCAGGCTCTTGGCTCAAGACGGCCACCTTACTGTGGAGGGACAACTTCCTCTGTATACTCCTGAACACCCACCGGCTGAGGCGGAGAGCAGGTTTCCGCCGGAAGTATATTCATGGGTGGCCTTTCCCCCGCCTCCTGTTCCACTCTGCTTTCCCTTAACAGACCACTTGTACACAGTGGACTCCATCAGCTTGGTGGACCCAGGACAGTCCTGGTTTTGAAGCTGAAAGACGTGGTACACCCCCAGTCGCAGGCCAACTGGTGCAGGTTGGTCACCCTGCTTGTAGGGGAGCCCACATCTCAGCCTTTGCTTCTTGGGAACCAACAATAGACCAAGAATAATATAGCCAACCACACAAAACCCCACCATGTGGGCAACAGCAATGACAGATGACACTAGGGCTGGGTCAAACCCAGCACCTGCTCCTCGGGGGAAAGGCAAGGCTTCTACTCTTGGAAGAGGTACAGTCTCAGAAACCCACGAGGGCGGTTCTAGCCTGTCCTGTAGGGTCGCTTTGAGTCAAATTGACTCGATGGCCATGAACTTGGTTCTGCTTCGGAAATAGCGTGCTTACAAGAACACTACCAGAGGAACACAAGCAAAAAGACTGACCCAGTGACTTAGTCCCTACTGCAAACTTTGGGCACCTGGATCCAGCTATAGCTGAAGGTGATGGATCCAGCGATAACCGAAGGTGATGCTACCCCTGCACCTCATTGCTTGAGCACCTGGACCCACCTATAGCTGATGGAGTCCTGTTCCTGGAACTCACTGTCTGAACACTTAGAGAATCCAGCTAGCCTTTGGGGGAGGTGCTGCCCCAGGACTCTTTCTACAGTGACTTCCCCTTGGTAGCCTCTGTCAGCTTGGGCTAGGGCAGGCCTCACCTGGCTGAGGCGGTTCTGCAGCTCCTTCACCTGCTGCTCCACCTGTTGCTTCTCGCCCTGCAGCCGCTCCACCAGCTGCAGCTTCTCCTGGCTCCAGTTGCGCTCGCTGATCTGCAGCTGCCGCGTCAACTCCATGACTGCGCTGTAGGACTCAGCCAGGAGGTGCTGCTGCTCCTCCCGTTCCCGCTGCAGGGCCGCCTTCCAGTCGGGCCCTGGCCGCTCCCCAGCCCCTTTCCCGGCTTTCAGCTCCATCTGCAGAAGATCAGGTGGGCGGGCTGGCACCAGGAGGCCACTCCTTGATGCCTTCTGCCGTTTCTCTGTCCTGGGTCCTACCCTCATGAATGAACCCACCCTGCATCCTAGGCCACGGGGTCTGGGATGTTAATCCCTGGGGCCAGGTGCATCTGGATCAGCTGGGTTGGAAGGGTGAGTGGGAACCGTGGCGCTGGGGGTTACCTAGAAGGAGAGGCGTCATAAAGACCTGCAGGGACGATTTCAGGATGAGAAAACAGTGGTTCCTAGAAGCCAGAATCTGGGAGAACTGGGAAGAAACTAAGGATCACAGTTGTGGGGAGTCAGGAGGGGCAGAGAAAAAGAGACTAAACTCTTCTGGGCCTGTTTTGAGGCCAACCCAACAGCAATCATCAGATGGCCATCTCCAAAGGGCCACTGATGCTTGGGGAAGGAAGCGGGTGTGTAACCTGCAGCAGGGACAGACTGGAAGGAGCTGGAGCCTGGCCTTGCAGAGCTATGTGGCCAGAGGATTGTCCCTGAGTAGGAGGATGTCCACTCTCTCTTTTCACATCAGAGCGGGAAAGCAACTTGGCCCCAGGCCCACAGCAGAGACCAAACTCCCAGACTCCTGGTAAAGGCTGGTTTGGTCAGGCTGGGTGGAAGGGAGTCCCAGTGTGAGGAGAAAAGAAAGCAGAGGCCGGTTGTGACGGGGAAAGGGACAGCCTGACAAGGAGAGGAAGAGGGAGTGAGGCCAACAGGAGTCTGGGTGTATGCGAACGAAGGGCATCACCAGATATGGGCAGGGCATGTAAGCATCTGGCCCCACTGTGAGCCTCAGGGAAAAGAAAGGCATCCCATAACCCTTTGCCACCCCCCATCTTGTTTCTCCATCAGGGACTCCTAGTTCCCCCTGTTTCTGGGACCCTTGCTGTGTGACTCTGAGGAAGTTGCATGCCCTCTCTGAGCTGCAAGATGAAGTGGAGGGCTTCCTGAGTCTTCAGGAGCATACATAGCCTGGGCATCCTGCTCGCAGACCTAACAGGTGTGTGTGGGGGTTGGTGGGGATGGCTGAGATGGGAGCAGGCAGGCTCACCTGGGCAGTATGGCCCTTGAGCTCCGCCCGCTCTGTCTCCCAGGTGGCTTTGGCCTTGGCAAACTGCTGCTGAAGCTCGGTCAGGCCACGGCGCTCATCCCGGAGCAGCCAGCATAGCTCCTTCAGCGTCACCTTCATGTCGGCCAGCGTCTTGACATACTCGTTAGGCTGTGGACAGGGGCAAGGCCTGGGTCAGGAGCTTTCGGAGGGGCGGGGGCAGGCAGATGGGGTGCTCACAGGCCTTAGACAAGTTCCACGACCTTGCTGGGTTACCTCGCCCATAAACTGGGTATGGCAAGCCTAGCCCTAGCCCTAGGCCCTCGGGTGTCCTAGCTTCACACACAAATATCTACAGTAGTCATGGAATAGGCTGTCCCCAAGGGAGCCCTAGTTTTTTCCAGTGTCCATGGCATCGAGGCCCTGACTACATGTTCTTCTTGCCTAGGACGGGTCTCTCTGACCCACCACAGGCCACAGGGGGAGCCTGAACCAGGAAAGTTCACCAACTGTGTCTGACTGAGCCTCAATCTTTTCCTCATTGTGTGTCCCCAGGGAGACTGCTCCCTCTTGATTTGAGTTCCTGAACCCCAGACCACAAGGCCCGTCATCCTCTTACCCCACCCTCGAGTCCTTATAGCCTCTGCCTTGTACATCACCAATCCCAGGTAGTCCCATAAACCCTGTGCTACACCTCTTTATATACACAATTCTCTTGGCCCAGAAGAGCTCTCCCTGTTCACTATCAAGCAGGCACCTATTTATCCTTCAAAACTCATTCCCTATGATGCCTGCTCTCTGATACCGTCCCTTACACTCCAACAGAATTAGCCGACGATTCACCTGGGACCCCACAGTCCCTCATCTGCCCGCCTGTCACTGCTCTGGGATGGCTGACATGCCCCACAGCCCTGAGCATCTGAGAGCTGCTGACCTCTGCAGCTCCAGCTCCCAGAACAGGGCTGGGCCCTCGACGGCAGCAGGAGTGGTCACTAAGTGGCCAAGGGAACAAGGGCAAGGGGCTGAGAACACACCGTGTTCTGGGTCCAGCTGTCCCCCGTGCAGGTCTTGTTGTCAGAATGCTGGGCGTTTAACTCCTCTTCCTCCATCAGCAGGTAGAGCTCCTTCATGCTGTTCACCTATTTTTTTAAAAAGCAAATAAATGTGATAGGGGCAGGAAGGCATGAAGTCTGGGGCCCCAGTTCTTAGGAGGAGCCACTTCTGTCAGTGGCCCAGGTAGAAAGGAGGCTGCCAGCCCAGGCAGGAAGCAGGAGTGGAGAGGCTGATGGCCCAGGGTGGACTAAGGACACCCCAGCTCAGCACCAGTCTCCCAACTCTTTGATCTCTGGCCTCATCATGGTCAAAGGGGAACTTAATTGACCATATAAACTTGCGCTGAAAAAATAATAATAGGACCATGTAAAGCCATGAAAAAGAACCGACTTCCACTACATGCAAATCATCGATAACCTCAGAACTATTATGTTGAGCAGAAGAAGCCAGAACGTGAACGACTACATACACAAAAGACTCATGTTGTAGCGCTTCCTACAGGGCAGGATCTAGAATCAGCAAAGCTAGAGTGTCAGAATAGTGGCTATGCTGGAGTGAGCGTTTTGCCTCGAGAGAGATGCTACACAGCCATCTGGGAGTACTGCTGCATGCTCTATTGTGATCTGGAAGGGCGTTATAAGGTGTGTACCATATAAACTCATCGTACACTTCATGTGTGTGTGGTCTACACAAACTATACTTTCAAAGGGTGGGGAAAAAAACCCATAAACATTTATCTGTATACAATATAATGAACAGCCAACAAAAACTCAAACTCACTGCCACTGAGTCAATGCCAACTAGGACAGGGTAGAGCTGCTACGGTGGGTTTCCGAAATTGTAACTTTTTATGAGAGTAGAAAGGCTCGTCTTTCTCCCTCGGGGCAGCTGGTGGTTTCAAACTGCTGGGCTTGTAGATGGCAGCCCAGTGCTGTCACTACTGCCACCAGGGCTCCCTACAAGAACCACCAAGCCAGATGATGAAATCCAGCAGCTCATACCGTGTGCCGAAGGCCCTGACATCAGTGACAGAGGGAAGCGTGCCGTACAAGAGAGGCAGTAGGTAAAGACTTGCTCCAGTCTTCTTCACCATGGCATCCCCGACACCTGCCACAGCGACCAGGAAAGATCAGGTTCCTGGCAGACAGAGGCTGAGCGAATGAATGAACGTGGGGCTGGAAGCTAGCAAACTGGCAGCCCGTGTGACCTTGGGGCGGTGGCAACGCCCTTGGGGTGGCCCTCTCATACTACAAGCATTTCACACCCCCTTCCTGCTGCAACGCAAGCCTACCTCTAGGAAGTCATCGCCCTCGTTGAGCGGGACCTTGCCCTGCCGCCAGCACTTGAGGAACCACCGGAGCTTCATGAACAGCAGCAGGAAGTTGTGTTTGAACTGCTGGGACTCCTGCACCAGCATGTTCTTCTCCTGGCTCCAGAATTTCTGCTCCAGCCTCCGCTGCAGGCCCAGACTCTGCAGCTCAAACTCCCTCCGCAAGAGCGCCCTCTGCTGGTCCTCTTTCAGCTGCAAGCGAGGCAAGAGCATGGCATGAACCACCCCAGGTTCCCCAAGGGGACGGAACTTCCAGTTGTGTGAGGTCGAAGGGCTTCTGACCATGCTACCTCATCCCAAGGAAGGCCCCAAGGAAGGCCAGGGAGGAAAGATCTGGACAGCACCCATGGGAAATCACTGCTAAGAGACTCCAGCAGCAATAGCACATTCTGTGACAAAGAAAATCAGATTTGCCAAGGAGCCAAATCCAACGTCCGGCGACCCCCGCTGTCACAAGTGTATACGGCTCTCTTGGGTTTGCTTGGCTGCCATCTTTTTGGTAACAGTTCTCCCCAGGCCTTTCTTTCACGGCATCATGGGGAGATGGTGAAGCGCTGGCCTGGGGACGTGTAGTTGAGTGCAGAGCAGCGATAACCAGTTGGCAAGCAGGGAAGGAGTTGAGCATAGAACCCAGCGCTGTCAGACGGAAGAGCCATCTCCTGAGCGTCTCCTGGGAGCCAAGTCCTCCACAAGAACTCTCAGGTTCGTGAGAACCCTGTGAGGGTGGGGCGGCGATGCAGGGGAAGGGGTGACCCAAGGGGAGCGCAAACAACCCCAAGAGGTGTGAGGACAGCTGCTATTTGAGGGGGGCACAGATCAGGACACCCAAGGAGCGGCGCCGGGTCAAGGTGAAGGCGGTGCCAGAGACCCGCATCAGAAGCCCAATGCCCCCCTCGCAGTGTGGGCTCAAACCCGGGCACAGCTCTGTGAGCAGCCGTCTCCCCGCTGAGCCAGGGGGGCATCCCACAGGGTAGAATGCAGAGCTTGGAAGATAGAGCGTGGGGAGGCCTGGCACACATTACAGGGTTGGCCCCGTGGAAGGCTGGGCGTGGAGCCCACCAGCCACTCGGCGAGAAGGACGTGGCAGTCTGCTCCCATACAGATGAAAGTCTTGGAAAGGTCTACTCTGTCCTGCAGTGGCACTACGGAAACCAAAATGACAGGACAGTCTGCTTGGGGGCAGATGTATTGCCACGGAGACCTTATGGGGCAACTGTACTTGTCTGCGAGGGTGACTCTGAGTTGAGTCAGCTCAGCAGCCACAGGCGCGGTTGGGATCTTATCAGGACTATTGTGTTGGTTGCCTGCCAGCCTGTGGCATTTCTGCCGTCTCTCAGCTCACACAGGAAACCAGCAACAGCAGAGACTCTTCCATTTCCGAGAAACCAGCGCTCAGAAAGGGAACAGGACACTGGCCTAAGGTCAATGGCCGACTCCAGCCCAGTGCAGTTAATGCAACATCACAAGGGCAATGACACGCTGGAAGTGTAAGGAGGCTACAGCTTTTAGTTCAAGAGGAGAGGTTGGAGCAGGTACAGGGAGGGGGCACTGGATCCCACCCACCTGGACCATCTTCTGACTGAAGTTGTCGGCCTCCTCCTTCCTTAGCTGCCGCTCCTGAGAGAGCTGCTCTTGAAGGCCCCGGAGGCTGTCGTGGGCCTCAGCCAGCACCAGCTGCAGCTCTTTGATCTAGAGGGGGTGGGAGACAGACAATGAGGAGGGAGACAGAGGAGGAAGGCTGGCGCTGTGGACAGAGAATGAGAGTGGTAGGGAAGCCGGGTCAGTAAGCAAGGCCTCAGTGGCCCAGCCGGTCAATGCCCTTCAGGCACAATTCAGGCACAGTCACCGTCACCACCCCAGGGGACGTCATGATGAGGAAGCGCAGCAATGAAAATCTTAACCCGATAATTCCACACTGAAATTCATTTGAGGGAGAAAAAAACTATTGTGAAAAGTAAGTTGGACTGATAATGGGGTTCACAACCTTATGATTTATACACAGAACATTTAGTAATAGCTTAGATAATAAATTATAAAGAGCAATAGGTCTATCCAAATGTTTTAAAAAAACATTCAACCACACCTTTGAGAATGGTGTCTTTTATTGAATGTATAATGTTGCACTTCAATGAAAAGTAGAAGACATATGTGTACTTCTGAAAGTTATATACCCTATCACAATAATTGTGTGAAAAGTATGCCTCAGTAGAAAAATGTACAAAGGACCAGCACTTCAAACTAATTTGGGTTGGTTCAGTCATGGCTGATGACGAGAAACAAACACCCGAATTTTAGAACTGTAGGTGGGGTGGAGTGATAAACAGAAAGGCCCCGGACCGGAAGGCTCTATGTAGAGGCACCGAGAGCCCTTTCAGAAGCCTGGTGTGAGGGACGAGACTATCACCAGCACTGTGGAGACCCACCACATCCTGAGCCGCAGAGCTGGCCACCAGCTTTGAGCCAGGCACAGCGGTGACCCTGCTGGACAAGAGATTCGGTTGCTATGCAACACACAGACTGTCTGTGTTTCCTAAGGAGATGACATTTCTAGCAGGGCATCCTCCCTGTAACTGTTTCCAATCTGGTTGTCATTCTCATTCACCCAAGGCTGTACAATTTTGGGTCTGTTGTGATTTTGCTTTGTCAGCCATGACTGAACAGGGAAGAACC